TGTTGGAGGATAACATTTGATTAAGGATATAGGATCGAGCTCCAGCTCGCCGGCGCAAGGTGCCCGTGCGTGGATAATGAAGAGAAACGGCAGCCCAAAACCCCATCGGGTAGGCTGCCCCAAAAAGCTTTTGCCTGGTTTTATCATCTACAAATTGCAAGGAAAGATGTCGCACATTGCCCAGCCAGGGCATCATCCATCTTTCTGCTTTGGTATCCAAGCATCTCGGACTGCCGATCGAACAACGCTTCATTCCAACCTCAATTAAGCCTTTAGCCTTTTGATAAGAGTTACGCTTGAATCTCTTGTTAATTTTTTGTACAAAATAATTGTTATACATAACTCGTGTATAAAATGTGTTATTTAATGAATCTCCTCTATATTATGATAATACTAAATATAATTAATAAATGGTGTGTGGTTGTGGTGTGTGGCGTACGTGTAATTGTACGCTAGCGCAAGGTGAATTCACTTAGCAGGTGACGTTGTCCGCCTCCAAAGGAGACCCACCCTGTGTTAAGACGTCACCTTGAAAGTAGTTTCCCCATGGGGAGCAGCAATAACTTAAAAACAAGCGCTAGAAAGGGAAAGAGACTCCCCCTGTGTTGAAGACGTCTAAGAAAATTCACCTTCCGCTTGCACGCGCTTCCTTTTCGATATGAATAATTGAATTGCACAAAAAAACGAAAATAACTACTAAAAGAAAGGTTTTTAAATCGTTGAATATGTTGTAATGGGTACACTTTGGCATGTATCTTGGGTGAATGAGGGGTAGATCTAAAGTATGAAATGTTTATCGTTCGACTGCTGCTTCCATTTCTAAATTTAACTCTCGAAACAGAAATCATAATTCTCGGGATCTTCGGGTATCGGTGGTGGATCCTTGCTAATATCCACACCCTCTGTATCGAGCAGACGCAGCTTTATCTCCATCGAGAGCAGTGTATCAAAATCTTCGTTCTTTTGCTTGCTAACCATCGGCTGGCCGAGCAGCGCATTGATGCCGTCCGTCCAGTAATTGAATATGCTCTCATCGGGCGCCACAAAGTCCAGCGTGGAGTGATCCATGTTCTCAAACGTTATGGAGAATGCCAAATTCACTGCCGACTTACTGCGTATGCGTGTCTCCTTCATGTGCGGACACTCCTTGCCCTCCAGCAGCTGCTTAATCTCACTGATGGGCAGCTTCTTGGGCAGCTCCTCTAGCGTGGGTATGTTCTTCTCATCGCAGTCACCATAATGAATGACTTTGTGGTTGGGCGACAGCCTTGCATACCAAAACTTGTCTTTGGTACGTGTGCCACGTAAATACTTGGAAAAACGAGTGCCTAAAACACAATGAAAGGGATTTAAATATAAAGAATTAAAGCCTGGGCTGGACTGTTTTACCTTCCACCAAAAACGATAAACGTTGCTGCTTGATTAGCTCCAGAATGTGCGGCGATATCTTCTCCTTCAGTTTAACAATCGCCGAAGCTGTGGAATCGCACTCTTCCTTTGAGGTGCGCTCCTGCTGGCGCAGTGTTGTGATCTGCTGATACGTGAGCAGCGCTATCTTATTGCGAAAGTCCTCCAAGTTCTCTGGCCTGCACTTGAGCGTGCGCTGAATCTGCTCACGCACCACACTGAACGTGGTGGTGAAGTCCTCCGCTGTGGCGCGCATATCCTTCCATGTGCGATTCAATGTGATGACGCAAATGCAAAAGAACTCCTCGAACGGCGTGTCGTGGGTGAAGAACATGGGCTGAAAGTCGCCCGATTGCTCCGCGGGCGGCTCACCAATGCGCAGAATGTCGCACAGCACTTTCACCAACTCAATCGAAGTGCGTCCAAAGGGACACTCATGCTCATCCGCTCGGCACGAGTTCTCGCGCACAATTTTTGCGTATTGCTGAGTGTAATTGCGGGCAAAGTACACCATGCAGTCGAGCGCCAAAATGCCTGAAATTAAGTTTATTATCAACAAATCCCAAAAAAAGTGTTCTTTGCTGCACTTACCTGGCGGAGTTTCTATAAAATCCTGTGCGGGATTGATGTCACATTTGAAGCCCAACTTCTTGTAGTACTGCGAAAAGTTGATATTTCCAGCGCCCGAGCCACCGCCGCGACGTATGTGATCGTCGCTCTGACTCAGTGCCGTTGTGTGATCGTCAAAGGCAATGCGACGCAGCTCCTTGATCTTCTCGTGTGCATCCTGATCCTGAGCATTCATCTTCATGCGCATACGCTTCTCCAGCAGGCCCAGCGTCAGCGTTTGCAGTACATACAGCTGGTGGGTCATCTCCGTGCCGAGACCATTGCCAATCAGGGCCAAGCGGAACTGTTTGGCGCTAATTGTGTTGGCAATCGTTCTCTTGCGAGCCTCATCTGCCTTCACAAACAGAGCATTCAGCAGAGCAATGGCATTCTGACGCATCACCGGCGAGTTAACCTCCTGCAGCAGTCGTAGAATATCCTGCAGCTTGATGTCCTCAGCCACCAGTACGTGCTTACTGCTGCACTGAACAATGTTCTCCAGATTGGAGAGGGCGCTCTCGCCACAGTTCGTGGGATACTTTTGGAAATTTCGCACAATCTCAATGTTTCGGGCGACAAACGAGTTCTCGGGCACCTCCCAGGACACCGTGCCGTGCTCCATGAGCTCAACGAAGCTGCCCAGGCTGTACTTGAGAATCTCCTCGTTGTTCTGGCCGACATCTTCAATCATCTTGATGAGTATGTCCAGACCCTTTTCCTTGATGAACTCCAGGGCGAATGTGTGATCGGTGCTCAGCGATGTGAGCTCCTTGAGTCGTTGGACCTTCTCCTGCGGACTGCCATTGAGCAGCGTTTCCATGGCATCGCTGGCCGTCTTCGATGGCGAATACTGCAGACGCAGTACAGAGCCATTCTTGATCTCATTTCGGTTCTTTTCCGTCACATATTTCTGGTTATTCGACTCGCAGAACTGCAGGGCGTAGTTCTGATGATCGCTGATGGACCAGCCGTTGCAGATATCCTGGATTTTGCCTGTAAACGAATACACAAGCACACCATGAGACACAATGATAATAAACCTTACTTCCTGTCACCGCTGAATGCGATGCATTTTAATGAGGAACGTTGCTGACATCACGATAAGCAGCAGACAAGAAAGGAAAGGGCGTTGGTTTAAGGTTTTTTGTTTCCACAAGCCACAATGCCACCACACCCAGCATGTGTGTGTGTACAGAGTGCATATGCACAGGATGCTCCCCAGCCTAGCCCTGACAGCCTAAAACAATAGCAATTGCTCATTGTTCACTTTTATTGACATACTTGCTAGCGGATGTCTCTGATCCAGGTTGATTAACTGCGCTATATGTTTCTCGCGCTCCACGGCTATCTTCACTATGTGCGAATCCTTCACCGTCGTTTTCTTCGGTATCATTTTGAAATTAATTACAAATTAACTTTAATTATTATTGTTTTTTGATCGGGATGGTGAAGCAGTGTGACCGCGGACTTATCGCATGCCTTCAGAAGTGTACCAAAATATACATTCTCATATACCATAAATATACCGAGGAAAAACAGCTACTATCGTATCAGAAAATAAAATATCGTTCCGTTAATTTAAAAATACTTCTTCCCACAGTCGGCGAGTACTGAGCGAAATATTTTAATCGGGCTTGAATTTAAACAGACCTTGGTTTGGCTTTTCTTTTTTTTAATCATATAATTCACGTTTATTTTGTCTGAGAAATGTCTAGTACACCGATAAAGTAAATTCTTCAGCGCTCATGACGCTCATTTTAGTTTTAAACAATTATTAATATCGAATTTCAAATGTTTTGTATGCATTTTATTGCTTTTTATGGATTTGACTTACGAATATATGTTTATATAATTGTGTAATATTTATGTGTATGTAGTAAATGTTTTTTTTTTTCAGCTATGAAAAACGATTATATTATTGAAATGCATCGTATGACAGTTTTCATTAGTGATTATGAGTATTTCTGTTATCATTTTTTTGTTCAGTTTAATAATATAAGTAACTCGTTACAATTGGAGTGGAAATTGTTGACTCCACAAAGAAATAGAATACTGCGCTGCTGCAACACATTGGATTAGTTAGTTAGTTAACGTATATCCCTAGCATTATATAACCCATACAGACTAGGCAAACAATCAAAAATGGCCGCACTACGCACTAATCAACAAATGTTCATCAAATGCCCTAATTTAATAATATATATTGGGTTTTATTTTTTAAATATTTCTTAAATATTCTCAAGCACTTTGAATACAGTTTTAAGGAGGCTTAGAAATAAATTTGATTTTCATTATTAAATTGTGTGTTACGTTTTCAACGGAATCTCAACATTGCATGGAAGATATTTGGCTACGTTACGTCATCTCGTCTCGTCTTATCTCTTTGTATTAATAGCATAAATAACTTTATAAACATTAAACGGTAGCTACGTAGGGGCATACATACAATAGGCTGCTGATTATGCGCTAATTAGAACCAAAAGAATAATCAAATCAACAAAAAGAAAATCATAATTTTGTGTGTGTGTTTTTGGTGTTTCGTTTCGTTTTATTTCTTTCTTTTTTTCATTGAAACTTAGCTTATAAATTCAGCTAGGAAATAATAAAAAATATAAATTCTTTAACATATAATATCGAGATTTAAAAAGTTGATTTTAGTTTATACAAATTCTAGTAATCGTACCATCTGAAATGTCTATGAAATGAATTGACTAACAAATGATGATTTAAACAAGGTACGAGAGGCCACAGCTGGTTTGGGGTGAAAGGATTGCTAAAGCCCGGAAGTCTGTCAATGAGTCAATGGAGGATATGTTGTTGGAGTTTTCCGCGTGACCTGTTGTTGGCTTGTTGCAACCCTCCCCAGCAGCTGCGGCCCTTTAAATTCACATAGAAACTATAATTTATGTCTATACTAAAACAATTCTTTCTTTTTCCTTCTCTGATGCAAATTAACACGAAAAAGGATAATAATGTACATTGGATTTACTTAATAAAATAATTTAATTGTGTAAATTGTATTTGCATCAGTTTTTGGGGGCACCCCCGAATAACAACAAATTGTACAGCTGTCCACGAAATTGGTTTTTGTTTTGCACATGAATCCCTTAGTAAATGATTTGCCCTGACCTGAACGAACAGATTTTGGAGGTAATGTATGAGTTATAAGATGATTTCGGTCGAGCTGCGCTGCAGGGGATCACACTGGTAGGCATCTGTGGCCGGCACTGGCGAATACTTGCGCTTGGAGGAGCCACCGCCCGACGATATGGTGGTGTAGGTGCTCGTGCTGCAGCCCCCATTGCTGCCACAAATGCTGGTCACAGCGTTCATCAGCCCCGAAGTTGTGCCCTGTCCCGATGCGGAATATTTGGACTGAATCGTTATGATGCTGGGCGTCAGCGTGGCCGTGGAGCTGTCATTGCTGCCAGTGGCTCCGGCGGACAGTGGCTTGCCCTGGACAGTAGCTGTGGTCGGCTTCCTGCGTACGGCCGATTCCTGCATTACGGCTGACTTGCGTATCGTCTGCTGCAGCAACGCATTCACATCGATGGCTGGCCAAGCGACCAGCGAAACACTTCGTCATAATTGGCTATCCAGCGGCGAGGAGCTGCGCTTCTGACGGTCTCGACTATGCTTTCTCGAGTGCTTGCAACCTAGAGACGATGGTGGCGGTGGCTGTGGCGGTGGCTCTGGTGACTTCTGCTGCAGCTTCTCGTCCGCCTCCTTTGACTGACTTTGGAAGGGACCCACATTGGAGCAGAGGGAAAAGTATTCGGCCGACTGGCTGAGCGAGGAGGCATCCGCATCTGTATGTGTGCCGGGTGCACCATCACTGCGCATTGTGTGCTCGGCCAGATCCAGCAACGAGGATCGATGCGTGCTCAGCGGCGTGAGTGTGCTGCTGTGCGGCTCCTCGCCATCCTGGGTTGGTGTGCTCATAATGGTATGATCGGCAGCCGTGCAGAAGCTATCCCTTTGGCCTGTGGTCTCGTCATCGTCGTCGTCGCCGTCATCGTCATCATCGCCGGCATAAATCTCCTCCTCCTGAGAGCAAGAGCCGCAGCAGCAGCTGGTAGTGTGGCACGAACAGAAGCTGTCTCGCCGGCTGACGCCTGCCTGCTGGTTGCACTGATGGCACTCCACGGCGACCGTCAGCTCGTGGTCATTCAGATCATCCTCAAGACTGCTGCAGGAGCTCGACTGTCCGCGCTCGCAGCTGCAGCTGGAGCAGCTGCTGCAACAATCCTGACCAGCCTCCGGCATAAATCGTTTCCTCTTAATCTTCACACACTCGTTGCGTGCGGGCGCCGAAGCAGGAGCCGCTCGTGTGGTGCTGCTGGAGCTGCCTGTGTTCACTGGTGGCTGCAGCTGTGCCTCATCTTCGGGCAGATGCTCTTGACCCATCCTTACATCATCGTCATCGTTGTCGTCGTCGTCGTCGTCACACTCGACATCATCCTCATCGTGGGAGAGTTCATCGGTCTCAATGGTCGTATTGGAGTTGAGAGACCCACGACGACGTCGCGTCTGCTCTCGCAGGGGTGCCATTATAATCGGAATTACACCCTCGCTGGCCACTTTGTAGGGGAAATTGGAGGTGGCTGTGCTGCTGTTGTTCTCCTCCTCATCATCCTCATCATCGCCTTCGGTCATGGTCGCAGCATCGATCTCAATGGCAATGGCCTGATGATGCATCACCTCCTCGCTGGAGTCCAGGGAAGACTTGTTGTTGTTGTTGTTGTTGACTGGAAGCTTGGATGATAGGTTCTCCACGCGTGGACTGTGCTTGGCCGCGGACTGTCGATGATGCGGATGATTCTGCAGCTGCAGCTGCTGACGATGTCGTGCCTGACGCAGCACTGCTCGTCGCTTTGTGCCGCCAACGCCTGCATAATCACTGTGATTGTGGCTGTGATTATGATTGCCATGGCGATGGCGATGATGATGATGGTGATGATGCGCGTGATGTGGCTGACAATGGTGACTCCGATGATGCTGACGATGGCTGCTGCAGTGGCAGTGATGATGGTGCGTGGTTATGACACAACAACAGCTGCCATCCAGCTGTCCGCCGGGCACTGTGCTCGTCGTCGCTGCAGCAATGGCTGTCGTTTGTGTGGCATTGTGTCGCTTCCTGGCCGCATGACCGTGACGGCAACAGCTGCTGTGCAGACTCGGCTCGTGGCCGCCAATTACACGGACATCCTTGCCGGCATTGCCGGGTGAATGCACGATGACAACCTCCAAAGCGGCGGCCATGCTGCTGTCATCCTTGCTCTTGCCACTGCCGCCGGGTCGCGGCAACAGCTTGTTGTTGTTGTGATACTGGAAGGCACGATTGTCGTGACACTGGCCAAAGTCGAGCACCTTGAAGTGCTCATCGTCGGCACGGGCGGTGAGTAGATGATCGTCGCCGCTGCTACTGAGCGTAACGGGCAGGGAGAGCTGATGCTCCTCCGAGTGGGATATGTGCAGATCGTGGTGCTGTGGTTGTTCTTCGGGGGCAAACTGCTAATCGCCGCGTCGCAAGTCGCGCGGCTTGGAATTCTTGCGATAGAACCAGACCTGTGACAGTATGGCTATATCCAAGCTGACCTGCAACAAACACAAAGAGAAAATGCATTATAGATGGAAGCTAGAACAAAGAATTTTTAGTTTACGACTTACCTGCAGCATGCCACAGATCCAGAATTGCGATGGTGCTTTCCTAACAATAAAGTAACCAGTCTTAAACATATCACCGAGCGTCCACATGATCACCATGTGTATGCTCATTCCATATGTTGATTTATTCTTAAAGTTGCGCAGAAATTGCGGCGCTCCTACACAGCAAGAGAAATCAATTAGCACAACGATTCAGAGTGGGAGGTCTTATGTCTGTGAACTTACCCAACATGGCCTCTGTAAAGACGGCCACAAAGCCCATGGACTCCATGAACCAGTGCACGGAGAGCATTATAAATGTTATGACGGCGCCCACGGCCCACACGAATAGCATAAAGTCCAGATACGATTGAAAGTCTGTCCAATTCCAAAAGAATTTCAAATCTAGATCTGTATTTGAAGAAATTTAAAAGTGTCATACATTAAGTTGCACTGAAACTGTTATACTGCATACAATTCAAAGATAATAATACTACTGTCCAGTCTAGCAAAAACAGAACTCAAAAGTTTTCGAAACTGGAGATTACAAACTGTTATACAAACAGTTATACGTCTTAAAAATCCGCCTGCGTGTTACAGAATATGTTGTAGGACTTACTAAAATATTTTAGAGGTTTTATACACTGTTATACTACTGTTATATTTCACTCAAATATGCCTAAAAGCCATTAAAGAATCCTTGCATGGCTCTACAGAATCGCAAAACACACAACTCAAAGCTGTTGCACATTTGTCTGTATTTCCTTTTATACAGATTGATTTTTAATGGAAAAGGTCATGACCCAACCCGCAGTTTACAGCTCTATAAATCGCTCAATGTCAGACGATGGACAGCAGCGCTCCGTTGCCGCTGCTGTGGGATGGCAACAATTCCAGTTGGAAATCAATTTTCATTATCTTTGCCTGCTTTTAGGCGCTGGCACAATCAACGATAGCGCACAACAAACGGAACGGAACGGAACGTACAACAGAACAACAAAAGAAAGAGAAGCCCAAGGCGTGCCAATATAATTAGCTCGTGTCCATAGATGTATGTATGGGCGGGTGGGTGGTTCTGTGTGGCTTGTCCATTGATCAATTTACCCCAAAGAAGCACAGTCCTTCCCCTTTTAACCTAGTTTTCTTGGTCTTATTTTCTATTTACAGATAAGAGGAGCGAGTAATAAAGAAGCAAAAACGTAAAGTAAAAAGGCTCATAAAGATAAATTATGATAAAAATAGACACAAGGTTGGGCTCCTTCTGCAGTTTCTTTCCTTCAGTTGGCAATGGTAATGGTAATGGCATTTCCAACGGCAACCCTGCCTGAGCTGACCCGACCCCCTCGGGTGACACCATCATTTGGGACGGCCGGAAATTGCCGTCAATTGTGTGAAAGAAAAAAACTTTTCAATGAGCAACGCTGTGGACTCGACTCACCGTTTAAATAATGCCTGGAACGGGCACGCTTGAGGCCGCCACCCGCACTGGTCGATGCACTGACGCTGGCATCCGCATCTGTCATCACTTTGGGCAAATGCAGCTCATCACCTGCAAAGGGGGGAGTGTTTCAGAAAGGGTTATGGGTTGGACTTGTGGGGTACGCACCTCGCAGTGAATGCTCTCGGTTATTGGCACCGACGCGCTTCACCTTCACGCACAGATGGATCATTAGGAACATGGTGACATTCATGACAACGCTCTGCACCAGCAGTGGAAGCTCGTAGCGGCTGGAGAACCTGTAAAATGGTAAAAACAAAATGCCAAAGGTTAATATGGTATGGCCATTATAATTGGCATTGATTGCACTCTAGTGCAAGGGGGAAACACTTTTATAATAGTGAGTATATAAATAGATTGTAAATGATTTGCATCTGCTGGGAAGTTCAGGTAAAAGAAGGCTACGAAGCGCTCTTTTCAGACACATAACATTTGCCTAAAAAGAGAACCAGAAAATCATAAAAACAAAATGCATGTCGTGTGCTTAGGGTTTACTGCTGTTATTGAACTGCTCCCAAATTCAAACAGCAGAAACCCAAACCCTGCCGCACGGTGTCATGTTAAGTACTAACTGACAGGTGCTTTGGGGACCAGGCACGACCCCCCTAACAAGTGATTGATGTAGCCAGAAACCAGAGCAACATAATCTACTCACGAACACACATCGATTATAAGTTCTAAGAGAACATTAAAGTTTATATTTAACGCAGCAGAGTGGAGGTGGTGCTGTGGGTTGGACGGGCCATTTGTGTCAAGCGACTCTGTCATAAATCTGACAGATGCCAAGTGCTTGCGAAATGGGTCCAGAGTGCGGACTTAAGAACGCCAAAGCTAACCAATCTGCAAAACCAAACAGAAAAAAAAGGGAAAGCGTGTTGAGCATTTGGCAAAGGACCAAACAAACAAAAGCAAAGTAAAGTAAAGCTCGCGTGGAAGCCTACAGATTTGTTGGGATTTGTTTGGTTTGACCAGAAAAGTTATTAAAAGTAAATGCGACAAATTGTTGGATTTGTGTGAAAGCAGCCACAGCTGTCGCTGTCGCTGTCGCTTTCGTTGTGTCCGTCACTGTCACTGGCAATCGCATTCAGCAGATAGCATACATTTCCGCGCTGTTTCCGATTGCCAGATAGCAAACGGACAGACAGACGGACAACATTCCATGGATGGTTGGGTGGCGCCCATGCTTACGCCTTTGGCATTTCCTTTGGCATGGAAATTGAATTACAAGCTGTGCCACAGTCAAAGCCAAAGCCATTCACATTCCATGAAGCTTCAACCGAATCATCATCGTCACATTTTGTGTCTTTAAATGACATGCAAAATGATTAAATTGGGTTTTGCAATTCAATATGCATCAAAGCATGACTAAAGCTAAATCTATTGCAGTAGATTAGAGCCATTTTCACACATTGGTTGTGAATGCTGGCTCTGGATTAAATCAGTTTTAATGCAAAAAATAATTTGTTTTAAATCAGCTTACACATGGTCGAACACCAGTTTTCTATGCTAATATTTATTGATTTTTTATGTTCCCTGGATAGTGTTTGTCCTTCCACCACAGTTCTTGGGCTTAAGAGCCCAAATTAGTAACTAAAAAGTAGCTAACGATTCACTTTTCTTGCGCTATAACTATTTTTTCATGGCAGTTTCCTGCACTTATTAAAGTTAATTATTTATGCTAGATATTAAAAGAGTTACGATTGCACGTAAAACAACTTTTAAACGTTTATAAATGTACAAAATAGCTGAAATTGCTTTCTTTTGCGCGAGGGTAGAGCGAGAACATAACATTTAGCACCAAAAAAAAACCTCATAAATTCTGAGCATAATTATGGAAAGTTCCCTGCAAGCCTTTCATATTGCAGCACACTCTCTTTGTCTTTTGTGTGTGTATTTGGTTGTGTTCGTATAATAACTGCAATTTGCTGCAATGTTAACATTCTCTATGCAAACATTTCAATTTGTAGTACAAGTCGCACGGCACTTGACTTTCAGCTGCAGCTCCATGGGCCATGGCATACATCACCCACAAACCCACCACAGCCCACTACCCACCACACCCCATCCACCAACGTTCGACTCTTCATGAATCGCGGGGGTGGGGGAATTGTTTAGCTTTTGCCTTTTAAATTGGCAACCACGCTCCCCTCCCCTCTCTGAACATTTTGCACGCTTCAACGTGTAAAATATGTCGTAAAAAATCGATAAAATTGTATACGTGCAGAGGAGTGTCCCGGTGCAAAATAATGCAAACAATTTCCCACCTCGTATAACCCGCACTGCCCTGCCTTGCTCGCACTTTTCTTCCCACACCTGGAGGCGGGCGGGCATTCAGGCTCATTTTCAATGGCAATTTGTTCAAATAGCAGCAACGATTTAACTAAATAGAAGAAAAGTGGAGGGCTTTTCCCACAAAATGTCACTTTAGCTTGATGAAAGTTTTATTGATAGAATTAGGCTCTGGGCACAAGCAATTTGTTAACAATTTTTGGCCCTCTACCCGCCTTTGCTTGTGTTTGTGTCTCTGTTAGGCACAATTACAATTTTGTGTCGCCTTCAACACAATGTTTAACCAAGTGTAAGTGTGTGTCGGGTGTGGGGTCTGTGTCCGGGTGGAAGTGCAGAGGTGCGTACACAGGTTTCTTCTCTTGGTTAGAACATGTGTGTGGTGTGTGTATGCCATGTGTGTGCTAGCCAAGGTTAACACATTTTTGCGCTCATCACAAATTTCATTTTCGATTTTAACTGCCACCAAGGCTCGTCGTAAGTACACTCTCCTACAGCCCTCTCTGTGGACACAAGTTCGCCTCTACATCTACCTCTCCTCAACGCTGTTTCACTCGCTCAAGTGCTCGTACGATAAGTTCTGTACTCAAGTCCTGTGTGTACCTCTGTGCCGCCTATTTCGGAACTACGCGGCAGAGTCTCTTCTACATAGTATATTTCTGTCTGTCTGTAGTCCTCGTGTGTGGCTTGGTGTGCATCGAGAATTGGGTAAACAAGTCGCTTGATGAGCTGCCGCGTGTAAGTAACCGTCATAAAGGAAACACAACCATAGCATAATTTCCCGTTGCCCATTGAGGAGCCCAGAGAGACTGAATGAATGAATAAAATGGACTGCTCAACCGAATGCTGATGATGGGGCGGGCCACCATAAACCATAAACGGCAACACTGCACTATTGTTTTTGGTGGGTTGGGGGGTGTTTGGTGGGGGCGAGGGGGGGGGAGAGGGGAAGGGGAACCAGGAAGAGAGGGAGGGGGGGGGGGGGGGGGGGGGGGGGGGGGGGCTGACAATCGCCAATGAACTGTGAATCGAAACTGTGTTAAGTTCTAGCACGGATTTTGGCTTAAATTAGCGCTTACTTTTGTGCTGTAAGAAGCAGAATTGGAAGTGGTGGCTGCCCTTTTAATCGATAAGCAAACTGTTATGCTAAACAGCTTCCTTCTGCCCAAGAAAAACAACCGTTTGTAATACAAAATCTGTTATAAAACTACTCCTAAAGTAATCTAAAATGTTATACATTTTTAAATGTACAGTATCATGATGCATACATAAACTTGTATGTATGTATGTACATTTAGAAGCTAAACGATCTGTAATAAATAGTAATCTTATCGTTTAATCGACGCAAATTAAATGTGATACGCAGCTGGCACTAAAGTGATAATACACCAACTGTTATACAGAAAGCATATTTTGTCATTGTGTAAAAGCCCCAAAAGTCAAACTAAAAACTGTTATACAAGCATGCATCTGTTACACATTCTGCTTTGCATTAAAAATGCCAATTCATGTATCTAAATTAGCTTAGAAAATGTGTATAACTCAACTGTTATGCTCCAAACAAAAAAGAAGCCACCTCAGCATAATAATAAAATCAACATTTTATTGCATCATTTGATTTGCTCAATGAAAACTAATACGACAAGAACGGCACCCACCACACACCCACATGGCGCTAAGCCCATAAAAACCACAACCAAAAAGCAAACAATAGACAGTAGACCCCTCTCTATAAATGCGTGGCGTGGCAACAACAGAGCAACACCATGAATGTGTGAGTGTGAAGGGAGACACTTCAATCTAGTACGCCTCCAGAAAGAAAAAAAAAAGAAGAACGCAGCGAGCCAGCAGCGATAGCGGAAGAGAGCAAACAAAGTCATATAAGAGTAGCAAAAAAAAAGAGGAAAATTAAGGGGGGCCGCCCCCAACACACAATTGTGGCACAAATATACACATAGGGGGGGAAGGGAACGGAAAACAATTCCATACAAAATTTGCATATGAGCAGGAAATTCGTTACTAACTCTTGATGCTAGGATATGAGAACGTGTAATATCGGAATATTTATGCACATGCAGATAGAAAGGAATTCGGAAAGGGTTTCCCCAAGATTAAGTTGGTCGTTTCCTGATTTGAATTTCCGTTCCATTTCGTTTCGTTTCGTTTCGCTTAGCAGACCTACCGCAATGCCATACAAAGTAGGTTGCAACTTTTTGGCAATTTTATTCCATTTGATTCCATTCCACTCCTCTTAAGCTTATCAAAGGCAATTTCAAGTCATGCCGCGCTCCTTTTAAAGGCTAACCGAAGTATGTACCATCATAGATGTATGTATGCATATGTACAGTTATGTGTCATTGCCATCGCGGTGGACACAGCTGTTATACAAACGCGTTGGGGCACGCAAGCATGATAATGCGCTTTCAAATTTTTATTGAAAGTTTTTCTTGCATTGGTGGAGGAATTGTTGTTGTAGATGGAACGCTTTTCAAAGTCAAGTATTTGTGTGGTAAAAAGTAATCACAGCTGGTGGGTATTGAGGCGAGGGACAAACTATTCAAGGAATAACCTTAACTTGTCTGCCATGCCATGAGTTTTTAGACTTTGTCGAAGATTTTTAAGGGCTAAGAATTAAAGCTGTGTAAATAGTTTAACCCTGGAACTAGTGGAAGTGTTTTTGAAGGCATTAATCAAGGCGTTCTACAATAAAATAAATACGTATCTTTCTAGGTATATTTTTTGCTACAGCCATGCAAATTCTATTATACAAACTTTTACTAGAGGATTTCTGCTAAAACAAACAAAAAATAATCGGAAACTGTTATACGAATATACTGTAAAATGTAGTAAAACTGTTATACAAACTGTTTGGAATCGAAAAAATGTATTATTCTTTTTTATATATTTTTATAAGCATTTTCGTTGTCGTTCCTCTAACTATTTTTCGTTGGGT